TCTGATAAGTACCAGGCCTACAGTCTGGATGACCAGTGTGGTCGCTACAACAACATGAGTACTGACACACAGTACCACTCCAACTCAGCCAACCTCCAGGACCAGTGAGTCGCTGTATTACACACTCTTTATTTTTATTAAATATAGATTTTATTGGATGTATGAGTGCATACAATTCTTGACATAATTATGCACAAATATATCCTTTAAAAAGATTCGTACACACTCTATTTCACACAAATGTAACACACACACTTAATTTTTTATTTTTTAAATATATATTTTATTGGATATATGAGTGCATACAATTATTGACATAATTAAGTACAAATATATGCTTTTTAAATGTTTCTTATCTAAACACAGCATATTTCCCACAAATGTAACACAATACATTTGCAATTCTAACATGTTCCTTGGCATGTAAATTACTTCAGATTTTCCTTCAGTTTCTGAAAGTCCTGTTGAAAGTTATTCAGATGGGTATAAGAGCCTTGCACCAAGACGGTACCGGTGTGATAGAGATTGACTGTAATGACGCCCTTTAAGTGACTGTCTTCCACATACACGTTGACCTGTATGGCATCGTTGATGTCTCTCTTCAGCGTTGGGGTAAGTTTGACACAGGGCACTACGCCAGGCCGTGGGGTGGGCTGTGTAGAAAACATAGTTGGTTTTGACTCTGTTCTTGCCCAGTGCTTTTTTGTAATCCACTATCAGAGTCTCCGGATGTTTCCTCAAGACTTTCCACTTGTGATGTTTCCTAGCCTCAGAATCCAGACCTTCAGGGTATTGGATTTCAATGGTCTGCACCACACCTATACTGATGCTGCCTCTATAGTCTGCACCACACCTATACTGATGCTGCCTCTATGGTCTGCACCACACCTATACTGATGCTGCCTCAATGGTCTGCACCACACCTATACTGATGCTGCCTCAATGGTCTGCACCACACCTATACTGATGCTGCCTCAATGGTCTGCACCACACCTATACTGATGCTGCCTCTATGGTCTGCACCACACCTATACTGATGCTGCCTCTATGGTCTGCACCACACCTATACTGATGCTGCCTCAATGGTCTGCACCACACCTATACTGATGCTGCCTCTATGGTCTGCACCACACCTATACTGATGCTGCCTCTATGGTCTGCACCACACCTATACTGATGCTGCCTCAATGGTCTGCACCACACCTATACTGATGCTGCCTCTATGGTCTGCACCACACCTATACTGATGCTGCCTCTATGGTCTGCACCACACCTATACTGATGCTGCCTCTATGGTCTGCACCACACCTATACTGATGCTGCCTCTATGGTCTGCACCACACCTATACTGATGCTGCCTCTATGGTCTGCACCACACCTATACTGATGCTGCCTCTATGGTCTGCACCACACCTATACTGATGCTGCCTCTATGGTCTGCACCACACCTATACTGATGCTGCCTCTATGGTCTGTTGTTGGTGGTGTTGACAAAGTCTCTGCTTGAATATGCTTTATTCCAGCTCCCTCGTGAGGTTTTACCGTCAGCATTTTCGACTGTGAGGTTGGCCACCTCAGGCCTCCAAACAGTCCTCGTAGTGGTCTTTCCAAAATGTTTTGAAAAACTCTGAACATTTCAAATAACGTTGGGAACTTTAAGGTTAAAAAAGATATCTTCAGTATCTCACGTTGTTGTTGTATATTTAGTCCTGTGCAATCTGAGGAATTTGTCCCTCTGTCCTAATGTAGCCTGTTGAACATCCAAAACATGTAGAAAGATCAGAATGTTGAGAACATAAGTACTAACTTAAAGTCCCAATCTTAAAGTTTATACAGCTCATTACAAGTGCCAACAACTGGGTGACACATAGCCTAGAGGTTATGAGCATTGGGTCTGTAGCAAGGCAGTTAACCCCAACAACAACAACTGCTCCCTGGGCGCCGTGGACGTCGATTAAGGAGGGCTTGGGTTAAATGCAGAAGACACATTTTGGTTGAATGCATTCAGTTGTGCAACTGACTAGGTACCGCCTTTTCCCTTTTCCCAATCAAGGTTTATTATTATGTCCACTACGAAACTAAAACTAACCATGAAAAAAAGAACACATTCTCTTACCAGGAATAGGATGATTAAAATCCCCCCAAAAACGCTGCGAGTCACAGTATGTGACTCTAACACACAAGGCTCCTTCCGCATTTCAAAAAGTACAGTTTAAAAAACTACTGCAACAGCATTGGATGCCGCCGACATGCCTCTTCCGGCGGTGTTTTGAACAGTGCGTGTCGTATGAAGATGACAAAAGCATCTTGAAAGTGACAGTGTTTTCCAAAAAATGTCTACTACACACACACACACGTTTAACAAGTTAAGTGACAGTGTCTACTGTACTATCTCTCTCATCTGAATTTAAAAGTGTATAGACTTACCAGGAAACGTGTATGCAGTGGTGGAAAAAGTACTCATTGTCATTCGTGTGTAAAAGTAAAGATACCTTAATAAAAAATGACTCAAGTAAAAGTCACCCAGTACAATACTGCTTGAGTAAAAGTCTACAAGTATCTGGTTTTAAATGTACAGTGGTGGAAAAAGTACTCAATTGTCATACTCCAGTAAAAGTAAATGCTATACCTAAAATTCCTTATATTAAGCAAACCAGACAATTTTCCTTTTTTTTCTTTTTATTTACGGACACAGTGGCACACTCCAACACTCATTTACAAACACAGTCCGCCAGATCAGATGCAGTAGGGATGTGGTGTGTGTGTGTGTGTGCGTGTGCGTGTGGTGTGTGTGTGTGTGTGTGTGTGTGTGTGTGTGTGTGTGTGTGTGTGTCTGTGTGTGTGTGTGTGTGTGTGTGTGTGCGTGTGCGTGTGCGTGTGCGTGTGCGTGTGTGTGCTTGAGTAAAGAGAGAGAAGAGAGATAGTAAAGAGAAAGAGTGACTGAAGGTGACAAGTGAAGTTGGGAAAGTTCATTATTGAAATCAAATCAAATTGTATTTGTCACATGCTTCATAAACAACAGGTGTAGACTAACAGTGAAATGCTTACTTACAGGCCCTTCCCAACAATGCAGAGAGTTATGCAAGCGGACCTGCTGTTGCCACACACATCAATTCCCCATCCCTACTAAACACACACACACACACACACACACACACACACACACACACACACACACACAGACACCAGTGCACCATCACTACTAGCCATTTCCCCAGAGGATATTGTAATCTGGTTGTCAATCTTTACCAGGGTTAATTCAAATTGAAGACACCCAATTCAGGAAGTGATTTGAATTTTAACTTTTAAAAAATAGAACTACTTTTTAAAGAAATAGCTTCTCTTCCATTTATTGAGAAGTCATTGAATATAGATTCCCTTTTTTCAATTATTTCAGTTTACTTCCTGAACTGACTGACTTCAATTTGAATTGACCCCAACCCTGACCTTTACCATACACATTTACCCATTAATTATATCATGGTTTGGTTAGCTTTCAAATTCACTGGTGTGTTAAGTACAGTTTGCCACTGTCTGTGTGCACACATCTAGCAGCGCTGCCAAACATTAGGTACCAAGACAGAGTTAGAATAAGGTAGTGTGTGACTGGTGGTGTGTTTTCTCTAAACTGATTTTAAAAAACACCCCTTTTCTAACAAGTATTTCCCCTCTTACATAGCCACACACACACAAAACAAACACAGATATTCATAGTCCTACACACAACACATTCATCTTTTATTATATCCTCCAAAGAACCACTCTGAAACCCCCCAGCTCAGAGCACCCTTTCCCAGCCACGATCAGAGTGACAGCCCCTTTTTGGAGTCCTGGAGGAGACGAGGTACTGTGGACTGTGTGGAGCTAAAGATCAGAGCTGCTACTCCAGACAGACAGACAGACAGACAGACCTCCAGACAGACAGACCTCCAGACAGACAGACCTCCAGACAGACAGACAGACCTCCAGACAGACCTCCAGACAGACAGACAGACAGACAGACTGTAATTGCATCATCATTGTGTGGCAAAGCCCAGTGAAACAGGAAATTCCACACCCAGGGGCGTTTCCCAAATGACTATGAGTCCTGGTCAAAAGTAGTACACTATCTAGGGGACATGGTGTCATTTGGGACGCAGACCTGAAGACACTGATTCCCATCAATAAACCAGAGACCTCTGACTCACTAAAGGGTTTAAGTGAAGAGGTGGAGGGGTGTGAATCTGCTGTGTGTGGGGGGTTGGTTCTTCTACCCTGGTGGGAACCTAAAATCCCCATAATTCCCCACAAGGATAGTAAAACAAGGAATAATATCCCTCATGGGGACATTTCCCACCTCCCCATCAGGACAAAGGCTATTTTAACCTTAGGGGTTAGGTTTAGGGTTACAATTAGGTCTAGGATTAGAATTAGGGTAAGAAGTTAGTGGTTAGGAGTTCGATTTAGGGAAATAGTATTTTGAATAGAAATACATTTTAGGTCCCCACAAGGATAGAAGAGCATAACGTCTGGGTGTGTGTGTCTGCGTGCATGCGTGTTAATGAAAAACACACAAGGGCCACTGTCATCTCAAAAGTCACAGTTATTATTTAAATTATTAAAATAATAATAATTAATCAATTAAAGGGGCAATCCGCAGTTGCTACATCCATTTTTGGACGTATAAATTGGTATATATAAGTCCCCAAATTAGTTAGCACACCTAACGTAAGCCTATTTTCAGATGAATACATTTGAAAAGTGTGTGTGTGTGTGTGTGTATTCATCCATGCACCATTTGTTGTTAACTGATCATTCCTTTGTAACGGTGGGGCATTATCGCGTGTCCAGTTACTCACAATGCTTCCTTGGAAACAGGTCACCTGGCAACGCAGCGCAAATGCAAAAAAGTTATTATTCACTTCCCCTGTGTGGCTGTTGTTATGCGGAGACTCCGTTCACTACAATCTTGTGTCGGATCGCAGTGTTTTTAAAATCAGGTATCACCAATTCTCCACAAAATGTCTTCGGAAGTTTTAGTGTCCAGACCCCATTTCGACAGCAGGTCAGTTGCCCAAGCAGGCGATCCGCTCCCGCCCACAGACGCAGAGGCCACATTCATGGAGGGCTTGCATCCCTCCTCCGGCTTGGCTACCGCGGGGTACCGTTCAGCCAAGTACAGCGCGGAGGAATGGCACGTCAATAACTTCTCTACCCTTCACCAGGCCGTTATAGACCGAAACAACGCCGAGAGGATTCGCCATGAGTCCAAAACACTGTATACGGAGACCGAGGCCGGGACTCTGCGCACCCAAGCTGAGGGGACGCGGCACCTAGGCGAGAGACTGCAGGATATCCACTTCTGGAAGTCGGAGCTGCAGCAGCACATCGAAAAGCTGTTGGCCGAGACAGACCTCCTCCTGGGGCAGAAGAGAAGGCTGTTGAAGGCGCTGGACGCCACCGAGATCCCGTTCGCCATCGCCACGGATAACCTAACCTGTCGGGAACGGCGGCTGGGGCCCGACCTGGTTAAAGACCGCGTAGAGGAGGAGCTGCTTAAGGTGATTAAAACAATAAGATCGATTTGTCTTTGCTCAAGTAAACCTAAATACTTGTATCATTACAAAATGTTACCTAGACGTTATTTCACTAGACACTAATCCGAAAATAACTTGATGGTTGTGTTTGTGTGCCACAGGAAGTGGAGTTGATCAGGAGCATCCAGGCTCTGTTGAAGAGAACGCTGAGTCAGGCTGTCAATCAAATAAAGTGAGTGACACAATTAGACACCTCTCCCCGCATTCATTTCAACCAACATTAATATTTCAGATGCATCAGCAATAACTACATAAATGGTTCATTTATAGCATCCTTTCTTTTCATTTTATTGTGTAATCACACATTTCCGCACAATTAGTCTAGGAAAGGCCTAAAGGACGACAGCTGAGCTGGGTTGCAGCCTATTCATTAGGCACTAAACAAAGGAAAATAGACTCAAACAGGGAAGGACTACCTGAAGTTGCCCAATAAGAAACGCTCGTTTTCGTTTTCCATTGCAAATTGTTTTAAGTTTTGCTCAGTGTGCACCGGTATGGGTGGTCCTCTGTAGCTCAATTGGTAGAGCATGGCGCTTGTAACGCCAGGGTAGTGGGTTCGATCCCCGGGACCACCCATACGTAAAAATGTATGCACACTTGACTGTAAGTCGCTTTGGATAAAAGCGTCAGCTAAATGGCATATTATTGTTATTAATGAATGTGACCCTGATATGGGTAAAAAGGTGTCCTTTGAGTTTTAGTCTTATGGCGCCCCCTACTGTCTGCAGTACGTAGGTACTCGCACAAACCATTCAAAGGAAAAAAGCGAGGAGGCCGAGATGCTAAAAGGGAAAGGAGATGGATACCTAGTCAGTTGCACAACTGAATACATTCAACTGAAACGTGTCTTCTGCAAAAAGTGCTACTGCAACGTGCCAACAGTCATTACTTTACTAACATTGGTCCATTTGGTCCAAAAAACATAGTTAGCACATTTAACATAGGCCTATTTTCAGGTGAATACATTTGAAACGTGTGTGTGTGTATGTGTGTTCATCCATCAACCATTTGTTTTTAGCCTACCTGAAAATTCATTTTGAACAGTGGGGCATTATCATGTGTCCAGCTACACACACAGTGCTTCATTGAAAAATGGTAACCTGGCAACGCAGCGCAAATATACAAAAAGTTATTCTTAATTTCACTACCCCTGTGTTGCTTAGCCCCCTGCTGTACTCCCTGTTCACCCACGACTGCGTGGCCAAGCACGACTCCAACACCATCATTAAGTTTTCTGACGATACAACGGTGGTAGGCCTGGTCACCGACAACAATGAGACAGCCTATAGGGAGGGGGTCAGAGACCTGGCAGTGTGGTACCAGGACAACAACCTCTTCCCTCAATGTGGGCAAGATAAAGGAGCTGATCATGGACTACAGGAAACGGAGGGCCGAGCACGCTCCCATTCACATCGACGGGGCTATAGTGGTCCAAATACACCAACACAGTCCTGGAAAGGGCACAGCAACGCCTCTTCCCCCTCAGGAGGCTGAAAAGATTTGGCATGGGTCCTCAGATCCTCTAAATGTTCAACAGCTGCACCGTTGAGAGCATCTTGACTGGCTGCATCGCATCCAACCGCAAGGCGCTACAGAGGGTAGTGCGTACAGCCCAGTACATCACTGGGTCCGAGCTCACTGCCATCCAGGACCTCTATACCAGGCTGTGTCAAAGGAAGGCCCTCATAATTGTCAAAGACTCCAGACACCCAAGTGATAGACTGTTCTCTCTGCTACCGCATGGCCAATGGTACCAGAGTGCCAAGTCTGGGACCAAAAGGCTCCTGAACAGCTTATACCCCCAAGCCATTAGACTGCTGAACAGTTAATCACATGGCTATTAGACTGCTGAACAGCTAATCACATGGCCATTAGACTGCTGAACAGTTAATCACATGGCCATTAGACTGCTGAACAGTTAATCACATGGCTATTAGACTGCTGAACAGCTAATCACATGGCCATTAGACTGCTGAACAGCTAATCACATGGCCATTAGACTGCTGAACAGTTAATCACATGGCCATTAGACTGCTAAACAGTTAATCACATGGCCATTAGACTGCTGAACAGTTAATCACATGGCTATTAGACTGCTGAACAGTTAATCACATGGCCATTAGACTGCTGAACAGTTAATCACATGGCCATTAGACTGCTGAACAGTTAATCACATGGCCATTAGACGCTGAACATTAATCACATGCATTAGACTGCTGAACATATCACAGGCCATTAGACTGCCTGACGTGAATCACTTGGCTATTAGACTGCTGACAGTTAATCACATGCCATTAGACTGCTGACGTTAATCACATGGCCATTAGGACTGCTGAACATTAATCACATGGCTATACTGCGACGTTAATCACATGCCATTAGACTGCTGAACAGTTAATCACATGCATTAGACTGCTGAACAGTTAATCACATGGCCATTAGACTGCTGAACAGTTAATCACATGGCCATTAGACTGCTGAACAGTTAATCACATGGCTATTAGACTGCTGAACAGTTAATCACATGGCCATTAGACTGCTGAACAGTTAATCACATGGCCATTAGACTGCTGAACAGTTAATCACATGGCCATTAGACTGCTGAACAGTTAATCACATGGCATTAGACTGCTGAACAGTTAATCACATGGCTATTAGACTGCTGAACAGCTAATCACATGGCCATTAGACTGCTGAACAGCTAATCACATGGCTATTAGACTGCTGAACAGTTAATCACATGGCCATTAGACTGCTGAACAGTTAATCACATGGCTATTAGACTGCTGAACAGTTAATCACATGGCCATTAGACTGCTGAACAGTTAATCACATGGCTATTAGACTGCTGAACAGTTAATCACATGGCCATTAGACTGCTGAACAGTTAATCACATGGCTATTAGACTGCTGAACAGTTAATCACATGGCCATTAGACTGCTGAACAGTTAATCACATGGCTATTAGACTGCTGAACAGTTAATCACATGGCCATTAGACTGCTGAACAGTTAATCACATGGCCATTAGACTGCTGAACAGTTAATCACATGGCCATTAGACTGCAGTTAATAGTTAATAGTTAATAGTGGTCCTCTGTAGCTCAATTGGTAGAGCATGGCGCTTGTAACGCCAGGGTAGTGGGTTCGATCCCCGGGACCACCCATGCGTAAAAATGTATGCGCACATGACTGTAAGTCGCTTTGGATAAAAGCGTCTGCTAAATGGCATATACATATATATATTAATCACATGGCTATTAGACTGCTGAACAGTTAATCACATGGCTATTAGACTGCTAAACAGTTAATCACATGGCTATCATCACTTCTGCTTTTCACCCCCTACCAGACCCTCACACTGGCTTTCTGCCCCCTACTGTCTCCCACTGTGTGTGTGTATCAGGTGTAACAGAGATGCCAAGCAGACTCTAGAGCTGGACTGGTCTGATAAGTACCAGGCCTACAGTCTGGATGACCAGTGTGGTCGCTACAACAACATGAGTACTGACACACAGTACCACTCCAACTCAGCCAAACTCCAGGAACAGTGAGTCGCTGTATTACACACTCTTTATTTTTATTAAATATATATTTTATTGGATGAATGAGTGCATACAATTCTTGACATAATTATGCACAAATATATCCTTTAAAAATATTCTTACACACTCTATTTCACACAAATGTAACACAATACGTTTGCAATTCTAACATGTTCCTTGGCATGTAAATTACTTCAGATTTTCCTTCAGTTTCTGAAAGTCCTGTTGAAAGTTATTCAGATGGGTATTAGAGCCTTGCACCAAGACGGTACCAGTGTGATAGAGATTGACTGTAATGACGCCCTTTAAGTGACTGTCTTCCCCATACACGTTGACCTGTATGGCATCGTTGATGTCTCTCTCTTCAGTGTTGGGGTAAGTTTGACACAGGGCACTACGCCAGGCCGTGGGGTGGGCTGTGTAGAAAACATAGTTGGTTTTGACTCTGTTCTTGCCCAGTGCTTTTTTGTAATCCACTATCAGAGTCTCTGGATGTTTCCTCAAGACTTCCCACTTGTGATGTTTCCCAGCCTCAGAATCCAGACCTTCAGGGTATTGGATTTCAATGGTCTGCACCACACCTATACTGATGCTGCCTCAATGGTCTGCACCACACCTATACTGATGCTGCCTCAATGGTCTGCACCACACCTATACTGATGCTGCCTCAATGGTCTGCACCACACCTATACTGATGCTGCCTCAATGGTCTGCACCACACCTATACTGATGCTGCCTCTAAGGCCTGCACCACACCTATACTGATGCTGCCTCAATGGTCTGCACCACACCTATACTGATGCTGCCTCAATGGTCTGCACCACACCTATACTGATGCTGCCTCAATGGTCTGCACCACACCTATACTGATGCTGCCTCAATGGTCTGCACCACACCTATACTGATGCTGCCTCAATGGTCTGCACCACACCTATACTGATGCTGCCTCAATGGTCTGCACCACACCTATACTGATGCTGCCTCAATGGTCTGCACCACACCTATACTGATGCTGCCTCTAAGGCCTGTTGTTGGTGGTGTTGACAAAGTCTCTGCTTGAATATGCTTTATTCCAGCTCCCTCGTGAGGTTTTACCGTCAGCATTTTAGACTGTGAGGTTGGCCACCTCAGGCCTCCAAACAGTCCTCGTAAAGGTCTTTCCAAAAATGTTCCAAAAACTCTGAACATTTCAAATGATGTTGGAAACGCTGACTCTCAGGTAAAAAAACAAAAAAAAGAGGTATGTTTATCTTCAGTGTCTGACATTGGTCAGGATTAAATAGACAACAACAATCTGGGGAATCTGTCCCTCTGTTCTAATGTAGCCTGTTGAACATGCAAAACATGCAGAGAGATCAGAATGTTGGGATTATAATGAGATCAAATGTTGTGATTATGAGATCCGAATGTTGTGATTATAATGAGATCAATGTTGTGATTGTAATGAGATCAGAATGTTGTGATTATAATGTGTCTGTCACTAGACTTGATCACTAGACTAGAGGTTTGTCCAGAGATAAAGGAGAGGCTCTTTTTGAACCATTTTGTGCGTCACGCATGACGTGAGTAGTGTCGTAGTTAGCATGACGTGAGTAGTGTCGTAGTTAGCTCCTCCTTCCTACTCCCATTCACAGGTTAGACTCAGTAGGTAATGCAGCGTGATGCACTGCAGACAGCGACGTCTGGTCTGGTCAGTCTCACCTCAACAAACACAAACACTATGAATCCCCCTTTACAGTTAATATGTGTCATTATCTGTGTGTGTCTGATGTAGCTTTAGCCAGGAGGCATGTGTGTGTTGTCTGTAGGCTACGTCTCCCTCCCCTCCTCTCTCTCAGGGTGTGTAGACTAACCAGGACACGTGTGTGTGTGTATTAACAGTGTGTGTTAATATCTCCTTCCTCTCCTCTCTCCCAGGCTGTGTAACCGTGATGCGTGGGTGTGTTCCACCCAGGACAACCTGTCTGTGGCGCAGCGGGAGGAGCAGGCCAGTGTGGAGCTCAGGCTGCTGGTGGAGAGGGTCCTACAGGAGACGGCTGAGGACCTGAGGGTCCAGTGCTCTAACGTAGACCAGGCCTTCAGCCAGCGCTGTCTGCAGCTCACTGAGGCCAAGACACAGCTAGAACTGCACCTCACTCAGGTTGGTGAGGGAGGTGGAGGTGTGTGTGTGTGTGTGTGTGTGTGTGTGTGTGTGGGTCAACAGCCAAAACCCAAGCCTTCCGCAATTTAAACAAAAAATGAAATAGATTGGCGCCTACCCAACAGGCAAAGTGAATGTTTTAAAAGGAAGAAGAGGTAAAGGCATTCATAACATATCCCTAAGGTTTATTCAGCTGAGGCTAGAATGCAGAGAATGCTGCACCTGAACTCAACACTGTGAGTGTGTATAGATCCTGGATCAGATCGGGGCTCAGGAGAGGAACATGGTGTCTCTACAGAAGGCTCTGTATGATAAAGAGGCCCCTCTGAGAGTGGCTCAGTCCAGGCTGCACCAACGCTCACACAGACCCCACATGGAGCTCTGCAGGGACAACCCTCAATTCAGGTACACACGGACACACACACACACACACACACACACACACACGTACACACACACACACACACACACACACACACACACACACACACACACACACACACACACACACACACACACACACACGTACACACACACAAATGGACAGAAGCACACACATGCACGCAAGCCAGTAAGCACACGGACACACACCCAAACACACACCCAAACATACACCCAGACATACACACACACACATCACACTTTCTCTCCCATCTTTCACAAACACCTACACTGGTATGACAAGCTCCTCTGCTTCCTCTCTCTCTCTCTCTCTCTCTCTCTCTCTCTCTCTCTCTCTCTCTCTCTCCTCTCTCTCTCTCCTCTCCTCCCCCCCCTCTCTCTCCCCTCCTATCTCTCTCTTTCTGTCTCTCTCCCCCTCCCCCCTCTCTCCCCCCCCCCCCCCTCTCTCTCTCTCTCTCTCCAGTCTGGTGGGTGAGGTAGGTCAGATCTCCCAGACCATGTCATCCCTGCAGCAGCAGCTGTCTGCAGCGCGGAGCTCCCTGACCCACCTGGAGGAATCCCGCATGGCGCTGGAGAAGGACATCGGCTGTAAGACCCACAGTCTGCTCATCGACAGGGAGAAGTGCATGTCCCACCGCACCCGCTACCCCACCATCATAGCCCTGTCTGGGTACTGAGGAGAGAGAGAGACGGGGGGACGTGTGTGGGAGGGATGGGGGTGTGAGTGTGTGTGTGTTTGTGCGTGAGATTTGTGTGTGTGTGTGTGATCAAGCCTGTATTAGTGACTACTGCGACATTGTGTGCATTTGCTTGGTGTTTCCAGTTGTGTTGTCAATCAGTAAAGGCTTGTCTGTCACAGCTGACTGTACACTGATCACTCAACACTAGTCTAAGAGTGTACACTGATCACTAAACACTAGTCTAAGAGTGTACACTGATCACTCAACACTAGTCTAAGAGTGTACACTGATCACTATACACTAGTCTAAGAGTACACTGATCACTAGACACTAGTCTAAGAGTACACTGATCACTAGACACTAGTCTAGAGTGTACACTGATCACTAGACACTAGTCTAAGAGTACACTGATCACTAGACACTAGTCTAAGAGTGTACACTGATCACTAGACACTAGTCTAAGATGTACACTGATCACTAGACACTAGTCTAAGAGTGTACACTGATCACTAGACACTAGTCTAAGAGTGTACACTGATCACTCAACACTAGTCTAAGAGTGTACACTGATCACTAGACACTAGTCTAAGAGTGTACACTGATCACTCAACACTAGTCTAAGAGTGTACACTGATCACTAGACACTAGTCTAAGAGTGTACACTGATCACTAGACACTAGTCTAAGAGTGTACACTGATCACTAGAACACTAGTCTAAGAGTGTACACTGATCACTAGACAACTAGTCTAAGAGTGTACACTGATCACTAGACACTAGTCTAAGAGTGTACACTGATCACTAGACACTAGTCTAAGAGTGTACACTGATCACTAGACACTAGTCTAAGAGTGTACACTGATCACTAGACACTAGTCTAAGAGTGTACACTGATCACTAGACACTAGTCTAAGAGTGTACACTGATCACTAGACACTAGTCTAAGAGTGTACACTGATCACTAGACACTAGTCTAAGAGTGTACACTGATCACTAGACACTAGTCTAAGAGTGTACACTGATCACTAGACACTAGTCTAAGAGTGTACACTGATCACTAGACACTAGTCTAAGAGTGTACACGGATCACTAAACACTAGTCTAAGAGTACACTGATCACTAGACACTGGTCCAAGAGTACCCTGATCACTAGACACTAGTCTAAGAGTACACTGATCACTAGACACTAGTCTAAGAGTACACTGATCACTAGACACTAGTCTAAGAGTACACTGATCACTAAACACTAGTCTAAGAGTGTACACTGATCACTCAACACTAGTCTAAGAGTGTACACTGATCACTAAACACTAGTTTAAGAGTGTACACTGATCACTAAACACTACTCTAAGAGTGTACACTGATCACTAAACACTAGTCTAAGAGTGTACACGGATCACTAAACACTAGTCTAAGAGTACACTGATCACTAGACACTGGTCCAAGAGTACCCTGATCACTAGACACTAGTCTAAGAGTACACTGATCACTAGACACTAGTCTAAGAGTGTACACTGATCACTCAACACTAGTCTAAGAGTACACTGATCACTAGACACTAGTCTAAGAGTACACTGATCACTAGACACTAGTCTAAGAGTACACTGATCACTAAACACTAGTCTAAGAGTGTACACTGATCACTCAACACTAGTCTAAGAGTGTACACTGATCACTAAACACTAGTCTAAGAGTACACTGATCACTAGACACTAGTCTAAGACTACACTGATCACTAACACTAGTCTAAGAGTACACTGATCACTAACACTAGTCTAAGAGTACACTGATCACTAAACACTAGTCTAAGAGTACACTGATCACTAGACACTAGTCTAAGAGTACACTGATCACTAGACACTAGTCTAAGAGTACACTGATCACTAGACACTAGTCTAAGAGTACACTGATCACTAGACACTAGTCTAAGAGTACACTGATCACTAAACACTAGTCTAAGAGTACACTGATCACTAAACACTAGTCTAAGAGTGTACACTGATCACTAAACACTAGTCTAAGAGTGTACACTGATCACTAAACTAGTCTAAGAGTACACTGATCACTAACACTAGTCTAAGAGGTACACTGATCACTAACACTAGTCAAGAGGTAAACCTGATCACTAACATAGTCTAAGAGTTACACTGATCACAACACTATCTAAGAGTACCTGATCACTAACACTAGTCAAGAGCTACACTGATCACTAGCACTAGTCTAAGAGTACACTGATCACTAGACCTAGTCTAAGAGTACTCTGATCAACTTCAACCGTCTACTCTAAGAGTACACTGATCACTAGACATAGTCTAAGAGTGTACACTGATCACTAACTAGTCTAAGTGTACACGATCACTAAACACTAGAGCACAGTATCCTGCCTGTTAGGTCTCATGGATCGAACACTAAATGTAGGTACACCAATCGGTGCTACAGATCTAGGTTGTGACTGACAAACCTTCTACAGATGTAATGCTCCTAGTAAAGGTTTCACAACTTCTGAGACGATCTAACCTAAGGAAGGTGCACTTCCTACAGACTAGAGGTTAGATACAACCTACAGATACAGTATCTCCAGTAAGAGGTCTGAGTGAAACCTAAGGTAAGTAGATCTCCAGGTCAAAGGTTGGACTGAAACCTACAGGATGGTAGATTAGATTAGGGTTGGAGTGAAAACCTACAGGAAGGTAGATCTCCAGGAAGAGGGTTGGAGTGAAAACCTACAGGATGGTAGATCTCCAGGAAGAGGGTTGGAGTGAAAACCTACAGGATGGTAGATCTCCAGGAAAAGGGTTGGAGTGAAAACCTACAGGATGGTAGATGTCCAGGAAGAGGGTTGAAGTGAAAACCTACAGGATGGTAGATGTCCAGGAAGAGGGTTGGACTGAAAACCTACAGGATGGTAGATCTACAGGAAGAGGTTTTGGCAGCCCTGGTCTAGTTTCTGCCATCTTGCTTTCACACGTCCAGTCCTATCAGATCTGTGAATGGGAGTGAATGAGGACAGAGGGGAGGGAACATCTTCCTGGGGGTGTGTCCCAAATGGCACCCTATTCCCACGGGGCCCTGGTCAAAAGAAGTGCACTATATAGGGAATATGGTACCCTTTGGGACGCAGCCCTGGTGTAACGTCTCTTCATTAAACGTGAAATGAAGTGAAACTGAAAGGATGATTATGCATGTATTACTAGATAAAAAAATACATAAAAATACATAAAAAGACCCCGGGTTGAAAATGTGTTGATTGGTCCAAATGATCACTGTCACTTTAAGTATTGGGTCATGGTATCAGGAAGGGGAGAGTAAAGGTGTGAGAAACAACCAATGAAACGATTGTTTGAACACTTTGAAAGTTAAGTAGTTGAGTAATCGTGCTGTAGAAAGCTATTCCTTTGTCTTATCTACTGGTCTACTCTCTCATGTAATGACTTACTGTCCCCAAGCAGAGGTGACTGTATCAGATGGTGTGAGTGTGTGTGTGTGTGTGTGTGTGTGTGTGTGTGTGTGTGTGTGTGTGTGTGTGTGTGTGTGTGTGTGTGTGTGTGTGTGTGTGTGTGTATGAGTGAGTGAGTGTATCAGATTTTCCCATTGTTGATTTGTTTAATTTGATGTGTGTTTGTTTGTTGCTTTGTTGGTGCATATTAATATGCTTACTGTCTGGCATAATGCTTGTTATAGGCCCTGGATAAAATGAGTGCCCTAAGTAGGGAATAGGTAACTCTGGTCCTACTTGGCCTAGCCCTGAACTAGACAGCTGGTCTGACCCAGTACCTAACTCTGACCACATGATGGCAGTAGAGAACTATGAATTCAACAGAGACCATCAGAGCAAGTGTGTGTGTGTGTGTGTGTGTGTGTGTGTGTGTGTGTGTGTGTGTGTGTGTGTGTGTGTGTGTGTGTGTGTGTGTGTGTGTGTGTGTGTGTGTGTGTGTGTGTGTGTGTGTGTGTGTGTGTGTGTGTGTGTGTGTGTGTGTGTGTGTGTGTGTGTGTGTGTGTGTGTGTGTGTGTGCTTCTGTCTCACAATAACAAGTTGAGAAAATACTATGCAAATCATCAGACATTCGCTGATTAGCACTGACACCCTGATGCAGACCTCATCTAAGATATTATGATGTGTTAGGATGGCTCACGTGTGTGTTATGTGTCAAAAGAGGACAATGCCCAGACGCTTTTCATCAGTGTGCTGTTTCTGTCAGTGAGGAAATTAACTACCTCTCCCCCCGCCTCCTCTCCTTGCCTCCTCTCCCTCCTCCTCCTCCTCTCCCTCCTCCTCCTCTCCCTCCTCCTCCTCTTCCTCCCCGCCTCTCCCTCCTCCTCTCCCTCCCCTCCTCCTCCTCCTCCTCTTCCCCCTCTTCCTCCTCTTCCTCCCCGCCTCTCCCTCCTCCTCTCCCTCCCCTCCTCCTCCTCCTCTTCCCCCTCTTCCTCCTCTTCCTCCCCTCCTCTCCCTCCTCCTCTCCCTCCCCTCCTCCTCTCCCTCCCCTCCCTCTTCCTCCTCCTCCCATATCTTTCCCTGTCTGTCATCCTCTCTTCTCTTTCTGTTGCTTATCTCTCTCACACTTGCTGTCGTGTGTATGTGTTCGTGTGTGTGTGAGTCTGTGTGTGTTTTCCTGCTGTGTATGCCTCTCAGATGGGTGAGTTATAAATATCTGGGAAAGATCAACTAGCAGAGGGGAAGAGAAGGGGGAAGAGAGAGGAAGAGAGAGGGAAAGAGAGAGGGGAAGAGAGAGTGAGGAGGGAGGGGAGAGAGAAAGGAAGGCAGAGGGGAGTTGTTGACTTGAACAGTGTGTGTGTGTTTTATTTTTATTTATTTTTATTTCACCTTTATTTAACCAGGTAAGCCAGTTGAGAACAAGTTCTCATTTACAACTGCGACCTGGCCAAGATAAAGCAAAGCAGTGCGATAAAAACAACAACACAGAGTTACATATGGGGTAAACAAAACATAAAGTCAAAAATACAACAGAAAATATATATACAGTGTGTGCAAATGTAGCAAGTTATGG